ACAGGACTCTCCACCCCCTCCAACTCCCTCCTCACTGCGCTTTACAACCCAAGTTCACACCCATTAAGGGGTTTTGGTACCACTAATTTATACTTTCCCTTCTTGCCTCATAGATAATTTTTTGTCCCACATATACCTCAATGCAACACTCACCTTTTTTCCCTCATCAATTCTGTGATTAACCTCATCCTTCATAAATCCATCTGCTGATATGTCAACTCCCAAATATCTGAAAACATTCACTTCTTCCATACTCCTCCTCCCCAATTTGATATCCAATTTTTCTTTATCTAAATCATTTGATACCCTCATCACCTTACTCTTTTCTATATTCACATTCAACCATAAGCACAGTATCATCAGCAAAAAGTAACTGTGTCACTTCCCATTTTGTATTTGATTCCCCATAATTTAATCCCACCCCTCCCTGAACACCCTAGCATTTACTTCTTTTACAACCCCATCTATAAATATCTTAAACCATGGTGACATTACACACCCCTGTCTAAGACCTATTTTTACCGGGAAGTAGTCTCCCTCTCTTCTACACCCCCTAATCTGAGCCTCACTATCCTCATAAAAACTCTTTACAGCATTTAGTAACTTACCACCTATTCCATATACTTGCAACATCTGCCACATTGCTCCCCTATCCACTCTATCATATGCTTTTTCTAAATCCATAAATGCAATAAAAACTTCCCTACATTTATCTAAATACTGTTCACATATATGCTTCAATGTAAACACCTGATCTACACATCCCCTACCCACTCTAAAACCTCCTTGCTCATCTGCAATCCTACATTCTGTCTTACCTCTAATTCTTTCAATAATAACCCTACCATACACTTTTCCTGGTATACTCAGTAAACTAATTCCTCTGTAATTTTTACAACCTCTTTTATCCCACTTCCCTTTATATAAAGGGACTATACATGCTCTCCGCCAATCCTTAGGTACCTTCCCTTCTTTCATACATTTTTCTTCTTCTTTCAACAAACCGGCCGTATCCCACCAAGGCAGGGTGGCCCAAAAAGAAAAACAAAAGTTTCTCTTTTCAAATTTAGTAATTTATACAGGAGAAGGGGTTACTAGCCCCTTGCTCCCGGCATTTTAGTCACCTCTTACAACACGCATGGGTTGCTGAGGAAGAATTCTGTTCCACTTCCCCATGGAGATAAGAGGAAATAAAAAAGAACAAGAACTAGAAAGAAAAAAGAAGAAAACACAGAGAGGTGTGTATATATATGCTTGTACATGTATGTGTAGTGTGACCTAAGTGTAAGTAGAAGTAGCAAGACATACCTGAAATCTTGCATGTTTATGAGAGAACAAAAAACACCAGCAATCCTACCATCATGTAAAACAATTACAGGCTTTCGTTTAAACACCATTTTGCAGGACGGTAGTACCTCCCTGGGCGGCTGCTGTCTCCCAAACCTACTCCCTATCTTTCACACATTTATTAAACCAAAAATACCAACCACTCCAACACTATATCCCCCTGCTTATAACATCTGTCATGATCCCGTCAGTTCCAGCGCTTACCCCCTTTCATTCTACGTAATCTTCATGCACCTCCCCCAACTTACACCCTTTGCTTTTCTCACTCCTAAAAGTTGTATACCTCTCTGGCCAGTGCTGAATACCACCTCCCTTCTTGTCGACATTTAAAATACCTCAAAGTATTCTCACCACTCCCTCAATACCCATCCCCCATCTACAACTCTCCTACTCTGTTTTAAATACAAATCCATACTTCCCTAGTTTCTAATTGTTAACTCACTCCAAAATTTTTCTATTTCATTAAAATTCTGACAGTGCCTCTCCATCATCATCTGCTCTCCTTTGCACTCCCACCACCTCACACCTTCCTTTTATCTCAATACACTACTCTTCTATAACACTTCTACTTTTTTTTAACCCTCTCATAACTACCTTTTTCTCTTTTATAAACCCTTTACTTCATCATCCACAATCACTCCTTTACCCTGCACCACCCCCTACAACCACAAACTTCTGCCCACTTTTTATTACTGCATTTTAAAATTATTTCAACCCTCTTCAACCCCCCCGCTACTCATACTTGCACCAGCCCACCTTCTCCAATAGTTGCTTATACTCACCTGAACTTCCTCCTCCTAGTTTATACACTTTCACCTCCTCTTACCTTGTTGTTGCCATTTTCCTCTTGTCCCACCACTTCTTACTCTAATTTTAATTTCAACTGATAGTTTCCAAATAACATTTGCCCTCTATTACCTTTTACCCCGAAGCCTACCCATCAACCTTTTATCCACCAAAACTAATCTAACAAATGCTTTTTTTACCTGCTATTATTCCTTAAATTTTTATTATCCCTTTTTATAAAATATGTATTACTTATTACTAACTCCTTCTACACATCCAATTAAGGCTCCCCATTTTCATTTACCCCTGCCCCCCAATTTACCTACTACTCCCTCCACAACTTTTTACCCACTTTAGCTTTAAAACCCCCAAACCCACAAGTACTCTCACACTTGTGTAATAATATATAATATATTAATATATACACACCTCCCATCTGAACTTACGACCAGTTCGGTTCTGAAAAGGGCCGAAATCGAAAGTCGTAAGTCGAACTTTATACTACAATATCAACAAAACATTTTGTAATACATTTTATTTTTTAAATTTTGGTATTTCATTTTACTTTACTTTTTATGTGTTAGGTATGTATTTTATACTTAAGTTTTAGGAAAACACGTTAACAACACAAATATTTTGTTTATTTCCCAAAATTTTTCCCATAAAAAAACACGGTTAAGTCGAGTGTCTAAGTCAAGCAGCGTAAGTCGAAGGTAGGTGTAAAATTGATATATAAAATCAAGGTATAGGTTGTAGACAACCGCCCAAGGAGGTACAACGTCCTGCAAGTGATGTAAAACGGAAGCTTGTATTGTTTACACGATGGTAGATTGCTGGGTCTTTTTTTTTTTCTGTCTCATAACATGCAAATTTCAGGTAGTCTTGCTACTTCTACTTACACTTAGGTCACACTACACATACATGTACAAACAATATATACACCCCTTGGGTTTTCTTCTATTTTCTTTCTTTCTTTCATTTCTTCCATGGGAAGTGGAACAAGAATTCTTCCTCCGTAAGCCATGCGTGTTGGTAAGAGCGATTAAAATCCCCAAGAGCAAGGGCTAGTAAACCCCTTCTCTGTGTAAATACTAAATTTAAAAAGAAAAACTTTCGTTTTTCTTTTTGACCACCCTGCTTGGTGGATACGGCCGTGCGTTACAGAAAGAAAGAAAGATATATATATTAATATATTAAAAATATATAATATATATAATTAATAAAAATATACAAATTATTTTTTTTTTTTTTTTTTTTTTTTTTTTTTTTTTTCAACAATCGGCCCCCACCGAGGCAGGGTAAACCAAAAAGAAGAAATCTCCAAAAGAAATACTTTCATCATCATTCAACACTTTCCCCACACCGCACATTATCACTGTTTTTGCAGAGGCTCAAAATTTAAAACACAAAGCAAAACATATAAAGATACACAACATATCCTCCAAACTGCCAATATCCCAAACCCCCCTTTTAAAGTGCGGGCCCTTGTACTTCCCATTTCGGGCCCAAAGCCCGACTAATAAAAAAACCCGGTTTCCCTAAATCCTTCACTAAATATTACCTGCTACATCAACAATCGTAGGTCCAATAACCATTGTCTCCATTCACTCCTATCTAACACGCTCACGCACGCTTGCTGGAAGTCCAAGCCCCTTACCCACAAAACCTCCTTTACTGACAACATTCTTAAATAAACAAAAAATTTTATAATTTTAATCACTGGAACATTAAATATACTTGCATTCTTTACCAAAGATGCTGTACCCCACCTAATAACAGTATTTACATGTGTATAAAATAGTACTAGTATATCTTTAGACCTGGATAATAAAAGGCTAAAAAAAATCCCATGCTAGTGAAAAAACAAGAAATAATTACCGGTGTGGGAATTTCTGGAGCTGCCAGATCCTCTTCTTTTGTTTCATGCACCACAGACACAGTTTCCTTTATACCTGCTGTAAAGGTCATTATATATGTATTTTTTTATATTTTATTCAAGGTAATTTCTATCATAAATAATAATAGTGTACACATTATATATTTAATCTATTATTATATACAGTCATCTACAGCATTTTGAACAGCATAATCATCCTATTTTTTTTTTTAAATCCTCGATGTATTTCAAATTTTTTTAAAACTACCAAAAGAAGCCCAAATATAGTATCTGGAATGCATGCCTGTATGAATGGTACAATTTAATCCCAATTACAACTGTTTATGCGAAATTAACTTTGACAGGACAAATTAGTGGAGAGTTAATTAGCAACCACTTTTCACAATGCTTGTGTACAGTAGTACCAGGTGAGAATCAAAACCATGCTGCTATAGTAGTACCGGGCAAGATGGAAACCCAAGCGCACAGACACAGGTGAGATGGAAACCCTGCTATACAGTAGCACACCAGGTGAGATGGTAACCATGCCCAGTAGCACAGTGGATGGTAACCATGTGCTACGTAGCACCAGGTGAGATGGAAACCATGCGCTACAGAGCACCAAGTGAAATGGAAACCCATGCTGCTACATTTAGCACCAGTGAGATGGAAACCTAACTGTTTGCAGTACACCAGGTGAGATGGAAACCCATGCTGCTACAGTAGCAACAGGTGAGATGGTAACCCATGCTACTACAGTAGCACCGGGTGAGATGGTAACTCATGTTGCTACAGTAGCACCAGGTGAAAGGGAAAACCCCATGCGCTACAGTAATATCAGGAGGGACATTAGCTCATGCTGCTACAGTAGCACCAGGCAGGATGAAAGTCCATCTTGTTATACAGTGCATCAAACAGGAAAGAAGTCTGTGCAGGTACAACAGCACCAGGATGGTCAGTAGTCCTGTGCAGACAATAGAACCAGAATGATTAGAAGTCCTGTGCAAGCAACAATAGCACCAGGATGGTCAGAAGTCAATGCAGGTACTACAATAGCACCAGGATGGTCAGAATTTGTGTAGTAACTACAATAGCACCAGATGGTCAGAAGTTTGTGCAGGTAGTACAATAGCACCCAAGATGTCAGAAGTCTGTGTAGGTACTACAATAGAACCAGGATGGTCAGAAGTCCATGCAAGTACTGCAATATCACCAGGATGGTCAAAGTCCATGCAGGAACTACAATATCACCAGGATGGTCAGAAGTCCATGCAGGACTACAATATCACCAGTAGGGTCAGAAGTCTGTGCAGGTACTACAATAGCACCAGGATGGTCAGAAGTCCATGCAGGTACTAAAAATAGCACCAGGATGGTCAAATTTTAAATGCAGGAACTACAATAGAACTAAGATGGTCAAAGTCTGTGCAGGTACTACATAGCACCAGGATTGTCAGAAGTCTGTGCTGCTATGCAGCAATTGTTATGATTTGCCCGCTATTGAAAACAGCCTGTTATGCTTTATCCGCTTCAGCACACTCAATGTTACTCCAGCCAATCTGAGTTCAAAACAACAAAGTGACAAGTTTTGCAGTGATGTGAAGGTAAAAAAAGATGAGTATTTAATTTAAGACAAGTGTATATTCTGAGGCAGACTGGTGGCCCGAGAAAAAACTGACACTGTTAAACTTAAGATTACCTATGCTATGCTGAAAATAATACACCATAATTAAAAACCAAGAATTATATTGGGTGCTGGGTGTGCAACTCTAAACTAGCTCTTTCTCAAATCAATTCAACTTTACTTTTTAATCTAAATTCTAACCTCTGAACACAATCTAGCTTCTATATCCTTAATCTTCCTCAATTTCAATCTCTCTCTGAATTCTTCATCCAACCTATCTTGCTTATTCCACCCAGTTACTTTACAGAAAGAAATGATTTCCCCCACACCTCTCTTCATATACAACACCCAAGAAGATAACCATATTTAAGAATACACTAATGTTTGAGTGCTAAAATATGTTAAAAGAAAAAGTGTATGGAAAACATTTTTCTAAGAAGCAATTTTTCACACACCATATTCATTAGAAAAATGGGATTACCACAGTTTTGAGCTCAGGTTTATCACGTGGTATTATGTGATGAGCTCAGCTCACTCAGATAAGTGCTCTGAAAAAATCGACATCTTAGGTAAGCCTAAAAGTGGTGACTTTATAATGGAGACGGTGTGAACCTATAGTCTTGATGAAGCATCAGTTCATTCTCTTAAAGGAATGAGATGATAAGAGCTGGGTGGGACCTCCTGAAAAGTATGACACATAGGTCACAACAGCTAAAGAAGATATAACATTACTGAGCGAGTAGATTCAGCAGAAACAAAGAAAAGTTTACCCCTTAATTTCATCTTAATAAAGAAAAACACCTTGGGAGGTTCAAACTGTGGGAATCAGTTGCTAATATTAAATTTTCCTGTAAAACTGCTTTTGCTAACCACATGGCTGCAGAGAATTTCCCTTCTGAACTGCAGGAAATTATTTCTGAAGGGGGGTATGAGTAACATACGTGTTTAATGCTAAAAAGTCTTTATTGATAGATGCCATCGAGAACTTACAACAGCCAGCACCCAGGATTCAAGGCATCAAAGGATCACTTTACATGTGCAACAGTTGGGTATCTTTATTCTAAACATTTCACCTACACAGTAGGCTCTTCAGCTAAATGCAGAGGATACAGCAGAAGCAGTGGAAATGTAAAGATGATGTAATCAGTCCATGACTTTTGACAAAGTAGTTTTGAGGTGGTCAGTCCTTCAGCCTGGAGAAAAGTTCAGCTCCACAGAAATGGAACAACGTGAAGCTAAAGCACGAGAACGGAGACTTATATACTGCTCTAAACCCGGGTGAGGAAAAGCTCACTACAGGAAGCAAGAATGTAAGACAAAGAGATACTGTAGCAACCCTGCTGGCCCATATTTTGTAGGTCCTTCTCAAATCCAAGCATTTTACCATAACTATGGTTAGGAAATAAGTTATCAAAGATGTCCTCTGTACCAAGGTACCATTATGTTGCAGTGTCCAACGTGAGAATATAAATAATGGTTTACAATACTGACAACAAGATAAGCAACACTGCAACACAAGAGTTTACATTATTTTTGGATAATAAATTATAACCAGGATTGATTGGCAATGGTTTTATGGCATCCCCGTAATAGAATCAGACTTATAATAACCTTGATATCAGGCCCTGATTACCAGGAGGCCTGGTCATGTACCGGCCATGGAGACATTGATCCCCGGAATACACTCCAGATAGGCAGGTAGACCCATAAAACAGATTGGGAATGTAGCAGGGCCTCAAGAAAATCATCACAAAATCAAACATTTCCCCTACTTTGAGCCTGATTTCAAGCTACTTCTGGTCCTGAAATCAAACAACATCATCTATATTTCAGGAATATGTCTTCTATTCTATCAAATGCAAGAGTCAAAAAAAAAAAATCCTTGAAAACACTTTAAAGTCACTACTTTAAACCAAGCACAAAATCAGAAGTTTGCTCTTCCTTATCATGCATTGTGCGGGCAGGAATTGTTTTAAAACTGTGCACACTCATTGCAGATTCACTTGCTCATATCTAGGCCCAAAATTTACTGTTCACAGCTTATGAGGGAGACGAACTCAAAATGCAGATCTAGTAAGTGACCCTGGCTCAACACGTAGCTCTACATAAGAGAGTGAAAAGGTTAATCACCCCAACCCGGCCTCTCCTATATAACCTCTTTCCCTCCATTCTGAATCCAGCACCCAAAAAAGTTTGGTGTTTTTCTCTATTTTTCAGCTAAAAAAACCATAGCCAAGAAAGCTTGGCCATGGTTAGGTCCCAATAACTGATTGCATAGTAAATACCCTGAAAACAAATGGGTCAATCAATTGGCATCAAGAAACAGCCAATAAACCATGAAGAGCACCTTAGAATAAGCCCCAAAGTTGCTATTTTAACCCAAACACAAAGTCAGACGTTAGCTGTTCACATTAATGCACTGTGCAGGGCAGGGTTTTTTTTATACGTGCACAAACCCACTGCACAACTCCATTCTCTCATGTGTCGGCCAAAATTGCTGCTCACAGCACAGTTTTAGGGGAAAAATGATTTACGAGTAGACTACGTAAACTCACTAGCCCACAATGACAGATTTTTGTGCAAGACAGAAAAAAAAAAGGGTTAATATAAATAAAGCATAATTTTAAAAAGCTGTTAATAAATTTAGAGAAATCAAAAATAAATTTCTAACATTTCCCCCTGAATGCCAATAGTTTTATTATTCAATTAACCCTTTCAGGGTCCGTCCCGTAGATCTACGTCTTTACGTTCAGGTCCAAACCGTAGATCTACGCCATGAGCTCAGCTCACTCTGATAACTGTGAGTGGTACATTTGGGCCTGATATGAGAGAATACATCTATGTGGTATGTGTGCACCACATAAACAGATCCTGCAGCACACTGTGTATAAGAAAGAAAAAAAAACGAAATCATGATTTTTTCGATTAAACAGCAACTTTGCAGTTTTTTTCGTATGTTTTTTATAGTTATATTTGCGATTTTGGTCTCATTTGATAGAATGGAAGACATATTACAGAAAAAGAGATGATTTTGATTGGTTTTAGCACTGGGGAAAAGGCTTGAAACTGAGCTCAAAGTAGCAGAAATGTTAAATTTTTGCCGATATTCAGAAGCAAAAAAAACGACCTCACACTCTAATACACGTCAGCTGGTGGGTCTAATATACATTCACAAATATGGTGAAAGATATTTATACAATTACAGTGGACCCCCGCAAAAACGATGGCATCACATAGCGATTATTTCGCATACCGCTTACTTTTAAATTTCAAAAATTTTGCCTCACATACGCTTAAAAACCCCCTTACCGATTTTCGTCCGAGACGCGCTCACATGTTTCCGCCGGTGGCATTGTTTACCAGCCAGCCTCCGCGGTAACATCCAAGCATACAATCGGAATATTTCGTATTATTACAGTGTTTTCGGTGCTTTTTCTGGGAAAAAAAGTGACCATGGGCCCCAAGAAAGCCTTTTAGTGCCAACCCTACAGCAATAAGGGTGAGAATTACAATGAGATGAAGAAAAGATCATTGATAAGTATGAAAGTGGAGTGCATGTCTCCGAGCTGGCCAGGGTTTTATAATAAACCCCAATCAACCATCGCTACTATTGGTGGTACAGCTGCTGCTGCTGCTGCAAATGTCAGCTGCTGCTGCTGCTGCACTGTCAGCTGCTGCTGTAGCACCGTTGTTGGTGTGGGCTTATTGAGAATACCAAGAAACAATTAACCCCAGAGGATTTTCCACCCAGGATAACCCAAAAAAGTCAGTGTCATCGAAGACTGTCAACTTTTTCCATTGGGGTCCTTAATCTTGTCCCCGGGATGCAACCCACACAAGTCGACAAACACCCAGGTAAACGGGGAAAAATCCCTGGAAACTAGTGCTCATTTTGGTAAATTTTAAAAAGCCAGAAAAGGTTGGTTTTGAGAGATTTAAAAATCGTAGTGGCATACACAGTGTGATAAGGCCTGTTTGGAAGAAAATCCAAACGGGCCCTACATATCAGGAGGAAAAAGGGCACTCCCGGGACACAGGTCTCATCGTCATTCTGCATCTTCAATAAAGTAAGTGTCATTTTTTCTTCTTTTTGTAGACTAGACGCCAATATTACGTGGCATTACTACCTACTATTTGCATGTAATCCTTTTCTTTTTGTGGGGAAAATGTATATTTCATGTGGTAAATTTTTTTTTTCATACTTTTGGGTGTCTTGCACGGATTAATTTTATTTCCATTATTCTTATGGGGGAAAAATTTTTCACTAGCGATTATTTCGAAAAATAACCCCCTTGCCGGGTTAAAACGTTAACCGGGGCCACTGTATTACAGTATTGCTAACAGTAAATCTTTTTATTTTTTGGTGAGAATAAAAATTCATTGTAAAAAAATCAAAATGGAATTTTTTTTTAAAGCCAAAACATACTAATGAACAAGAAATGTTGTTTAGTCCCGGAATGCCTCATTGTTATTCTGGACCTATTTTGAAATTTTGGAATATTTTTAACTTTGGGTTTAAAATTTGGGCCAAAAATTAACAATTTCCGATCACTTTTTTTTAGTTGAAACAGTTGACTTGGCGATTTCTTGTGCTCAAACGTAGAAAAAAGTAATACTAGGAAATAGCTAAAAATTTGGTTGATTGGAATAAGTAATTGGCCAAAAAAGGAGTCAAAGTCGGCAAAATCCCGATTCGTAAAAATCGCGACACATCAAATTCGCGAGAGCATAATTTCGTCAATTTTTCCAAAAATTTTTACTTTTTGTTTTATTCCCTTTCAAAAAAGATTCTGTACGATTTCAAAGAAAAAATAAAAATTTTTTTTTTTTTTAACCCTTTGACGGAAGGGCCCAATCCTGAAGTTGCTCCTGGTGTCGCAAATATTCAAAAAAAAAAAAATTATTTTTTCTTATAAATGATAGAGAATCTTTTCCCGTTTGTAAAGCCCCCCAAAAAAACAAAATTTTGAGGGAAAACTGAGGGAAATTTACGCTTTCGCAAAGTTAGAAAACTTCGGGATTTTTAAAAATCGGCAATTTCCCCCACTTTGACCCCTTTTTTCCCGGCTTATTCCTTTATTCCATAACCATAACTATTTCTTCAGAACTCTATTTTTTCTATCGATTGAGCACAAAAACTGCCTTTTAAACCGATTTCAACTACCCAATAACATGGTCAGAAATTTGCAATTTGGCCAATTTCACGAAAATTAAAAAATACGACAATTTCAAAATAAGGTCCAGAATGAACAATGCAGACATTCCTGGCTCTAAAATAAGATTTTCTTTGTTCATCAGTCATTCTTCCAGGTCCCTGTGATATTACTCTTGCTTTTTATTTTGAAATTTTATTCAAACAAAAAATAGAAGATTTACTGTTATGCAGACTACTGCAATACTGTAATAATTGTAAAAATTACATCAACCCATTCATGACTGCGTATTAGAATGGCTTTTTGGACATTTATTGGACAATGACATCATTTGTTTACTTTTGAACATGGGCAAAAACAAACATTTCCTGTACTTTGTGCTCCATTTCCGGGTTCTTTTTATAGTAAAATTAATCAAAATCACCTCGATTTCTATAATATAGTTTCCATTCTATCAAATGAGACCATGAAAACGAGAATACAACCACAAATACTATACGAAAATAGACCAAAAAGTCGGCATTTTAATTAAAAAAAACGGTCGGAGTTTTTTTTTCTCATTGTGCACTGCGGGCTCCAGGATTTTTTTTATGTGGTGCACACTGACCACACAGACCCATTCTCTCACATGTGGGCCTACTAGCTTTCTCCTGCCTGATTTGAAGCCGCTAGAATTTAATGAGTATATATACGTCAAACACGGTACCTCACAAACGTATATATACGGCCGCGACAGTCAAACGGTTAAATTCTTGGACACTGGTGCGTGACTCCAGATTTGGCCCTTTGGACCCTAAAAGGGGTTAACCCTTTGACTGTCGAAACCCCCAAATCCTGAGGTGTCTCCTGGTGCCCGCAAAATATTTGAAAGAAAAAAAAATTTTTTTTTTTCTTATGAAATGATAGAGAATCTTTCCCCGATGGTAAAGACACCAAAAGGATGAAATTTTAAGGAAAACTTATGGGATACGCTGTTGCGAAGTTAGCAACCTTGGCGATAATTTACGAATCGACGATTTCGCCCACTATGAGCCCTATTTTCGGCTAAATTTCCCTTGTTCTAGTTGATCAAAAAACATATCTATTTCTTTAGAACTCCATTTGTTCTATCGATTTAGTACAAGAAACTGCCATTTACTGATTTCAACTACCCAAAAAAGTGGTCAGAAATTACCAATATGGCCAATTTCACGCAAATTAAAAAATATGCCAAATTTTAAAATAGGGTCAGAATGAACAATGCAGACATTCCTGACTCTAAAATAACATTTTCTTTGTTCATCAGTCACGTCTCCAGGCCCTTCTGATATTACTCTTGCTTTCTATTTTGAATTTTTATTCAAACAAAAAATAGAAGATTTACTGTATGCAGACTACTGCAATATTGTAATAATTGTATAAATAATGTCAACCCATTCATGGCTGCATATTAGAATGGCTAGTTGGACATTGGCAAAAATCAAACTTTTCCCCCTACTTTGAGCTCCATTTCAAGGTTCTTTTCATAGTAAAACCAATCAAATTCACCTCCATTTCTATATGTTTTCCATTCTATCAAATGTGACTACAAAAACAAGAATACGTATAACCTTAAAATCTATACGAAAATATACCTCAAAGTTGGCATTTTAATCCAAAAAAACACGGTCAGAGTTTTTTTTCCCCATCATGCACTGCTTGCTGCAGGATTTTTTTTTATACTGAGCACACTTACCACACAGCCCCATTCTCTCCACATGTGGGCCTACCAGCTTTCTCCCGCTTGATTTGAAGCCGTTAGAATTTTTGAGTATATATACATCGAACACATTGACTTCTAAGATATGTATATACGACCAAAACAGTCAAAGGGGTTAAGAACTAAACAGGCTTGGAAAGTTTAAAATACTGTAGACTACTAAAAACAGAGAAAAAATTATTTTTGTAGTAAATACTGATGAGTGATTAGCAATGTTTCTCTCTCAACTGTTAAACTGTCCAAACGTAGATTTACGTTGACGTGCGTAGCACTCTGACCTTTATTTTCTCCATTTGAAAGCATGTAAAATTGGACGTAGATCTATGTTTGGAGCACTACGCACGTCAACGTAGATCTACGTTTGGACAGTGTAAGGGTTAAAGACAACTTAAAAAAAAAAAAAATGCCCCATTACTTCATAATAGTTAATGACATCATATATGACAATGCATTATTTACAAAACCAGCACTCCATGCCCTAACCCTGCTTGCCTTGTAGTTCAATCAAGATAAGTGCAACGACCAGTGACAATGAGACAAGAAGTACCAGGAAAATAATCTTGGCTATAATCCCACTGCTGTCACCTTTGGGTAGTGCTGTGGTTCTTGCCAATATTTTTTTGTCATCGCCTTCCCTTTTGGGTGTCTGTCATATCATCTTCGGCTTCATCTGTAAATGAAAACAAATTAGATGACACAAATTAACTTCAAATCTTTATGCACAGTATTAGCTGAATAACATGTATTACAGGTGATAGGCAGCTACAAACAAAATTTATGAATTCCTTTAACCCTTAAATGGTCTAAACAAATCGACGTTCAAATTCGTAGTGCTACAAAAGTAGATCTACTTTTTTTTTACATATTTTCAAATGTAAACAAAAAAAAATGTAGATAAAAGTTTTTTTTACACGTTTTCAAATGTAAAACAAAAAAGAAGATCTACATTTTTTTACATACTTTCAGATGTTGAAAAAACGTATATATACGTTTGGACCATTTAAGGGTTAAAAATAAAACTGAAAAAAGGCCTTGCTATGTACAATTAGCCCCCACAGAAGTAGAATGAATTCTTTCCACTTTTACAAAGACCTTTCTCGCTAGGCAAGACTGACTTTTAGATTTGTTTTTCACAAAGCAAATGAATGTCTTTATTCCTTAGGAGTATACACAGAAATAACAATAATTAGAATTTTCAATGCATCTGGATACAATTTTGGCAAAATTTGGGTGATACAAATGCAACTTGGTACAACTGAATGTTCAAAAGAAAGCTACTCATTATACAAAACATTTTGGGCAGACTAATACTAAAACTTAGTACTGAGGGTACTTAATTCTAGTCCTAGCATATAAATTTAGGCATTTTGTGACAACAATACAGTGGAACCTCAGTTTTCGTATGTCCCAGTTTTCATACATCCGCTCAGTTTTCATAGTTAAAAAATGGTCCGTACCAAATGCGTCTAGCACCCACACAAAGCATCCCATGCATTCGTGACTCAGTCTGCCCTTGTTTCTCATTGAGTGAGCATCACCCCGAGCGTTCATCTGAAACATTTCGTAATAATCCATTTGTTTTTTGTGCTTGTTTGTTGAGTGTGACTGCTAAATAAGCCACCATGGGGCCAAAGAAATTTCCGATTGCCAGCCATCTGAGAAAGAAGGTGAGAAACACGATAGAAATCAAGAAAGAACTCATAGCAAAGTACGTAAGTGGCGTACGTGTGGCCGATCTCCCCAGGGTGTACGGGAAGAAAAAAGAAATCAAGAAGCTGAAGTTGCGAAGGGGTATATGTGCTAACAAAAAAGAGATCACAAACAATTGAGAAGCTGTTGGTGTGGATCAACGAAAAACAGTTAGAGGGAGATAGTGTTTTGGAGGCGATAATTTGTGAGCAAGGCAGTTGCATGCGGATCTAGCAAAGAAAATACCTGGAACAATTGCTGCTGTTAGTGAATTTATGGCCAGCAGAGGCTGGTTTGACAAATTCGACAAGTGAACTGGCATACAGTGTGGTGTGGTATGGCATGGCGAGGCTGCAAGTTCAGACAAACATGGGGCCAAAGAATTCGTTGATGAATTCAAGGATACATAGAAGCTGAAGGATTCCTCCCCAAACAAGTCTTCAATTGTGACGAAACAGGCCTCTTTTGGAAGAAAATGCCAAAGGGGACCTACATTACGCAGGAGGAAAAGGTACTGCCAGTACACAAGCCTATGAAGGATAGGCTAACTCTTTTGTTCTGTGCTAATGCTAGTGGGGATTTCAAAGTGAAGCCTTTACTTGTGTATCACTCTGAAAATCCCAGTGTGTTCAAGAAAAACAATGTCATCAAGAGTAAATTGTGTGCGATGTGGAAGGCTAACAATAAGGCATGGTCACGAGGAAAATTTTCATTGAGTGGGTCTATGAAGTGTTTGGCCCAAGTGTGAAAAAATACCTCCTGGAAAATCAACTGCCACTCAAGTGCTTCCTGGTAATGGACAATGCTCCTGCTCACCCTCCAGACTTGGAAGACCAATTGTTGAAGGAGTTTAGTTTCATCACAGTGAAGTTCTTGCCCTCCTAATACCACTCCTCTCATCCAGCCCATGGAGCAGCGGGTCATTTCAGACTTCAAAAAATTCTACATCAAAGCACTGTTTCAAAGATGCTTTGAAGTGACCTCAGACACTGAACTGACCCTAGGAGAGTTCTGGAGGAATCACTTCAATATCCTCAATTGCATAAGCCTTATAGATAACGCTTGGCAGGGAGTGACTTCCAGGACGATGAGCTCTGCTTGGGGAAAACTGTGGTCAGAATGTGTCCTCGAGAAGGATTTTGAAGAGTTTGAGGCTGACCCTGACGACCCTAAGCCTATTGTGGAATCTACTGTGTCTTTGGGGAAGTCCATGGAGTTGGATCTGAGTGGCCAGGATGTGAAAGAGCTGGTGGATGACCATAGGGAAGAGCTAACCACTGTAGAGATGCAAGACCTTCAACTGGAACAGCAACAGACTGCAGCTGAGGAAACTGCTTTAGAGGAGGGGTAAGAGAGAAGGGAGAATGTGCCTTCTTCAGTGATTAAGGACTTGTGTGCAAAGTGGAGTGAGTAGCAAAGTTTTGTGGAGAAATATCACCCTAACAAAGCTGTTGCAAGCCATGTCTGCAACATGTTCAATGACAATGCCTTGTCCCATTTTAGGCAAATCTTAAAGAGATGCCAGAAACAGACCTCTCTGGACAGATTTTTTTGTGAGACAGGGATCCAGTGACTCTCAAGCTGGTCCTAGTGCCCGTAAAAGACAAAGAAGAGAAGTAACCTCAGATAGAGCCTTGATACCTGAAGTCCTTATTGGAAGGGGATTCGTCTTCCAAACAATAACTCCTCCTCCTCCCTCTCCCCTCCTTGTCATCCTGCATATGCCAACAAGAGTCTTCAAAAAAGGTAAAAGTGATGTTAAATGTTCACTTATCCATTTCATTAGTCATTTATATTTATTTCTCATTATTTTCTGTATTTAAAACTGTAGTTTATTCTCTATAAAATGTATTTTTTTGTTAATATTTTGGGGGTCAGAACGGATTAAAGTGGGCCCTCAACCAGCGATGGCATCGATTAACAATAAATCTGACTAGCGATACATTTTAACGCAAAAAATTTTGCCTCAACTAGCGCTTAAAAACCCGACCCAGCGCTATTCGTTCCGTACCATACGCGTCCACTTTGGCCTGAGCGCGCCTCACTTGTCCCTTGGCGCCAGTGTTTACAAGCCAGCCAGCCACCGCGGTCGCTTCCAAACATACAACAACTGGAACATTTCATATTATCACAGCCTTTGTAGTGATTGCACCTGCAAAAATAAGTCACCATGGGCCCCAAGAAAGCTTCTAGTGCCAACCCTACAGCAAAAAGGGTGAGAATTACTATGGAGATGAAGAAAGAGATCATTGCTAAGTATGGAAGTGGAGTGCGTGTCTCTGAGCCGGTCAGGTTGTATAATAAACCCCAATCAACCATCGCTACTATTGTGGGTAAGAAAACGGCAATCAAGGAGCTGTTCTTGCCAAAGGTGCAGCTGCTGCTGCACCACAGTCAGCTGTTGTTGTTGCTGCACCACCATCAGCTGTATTACTCGAAGATGTGGAGAGAGCGTTGTTGGTGTGGCTTAACGTGAAACAATTACCGAGAACGATTAACCCCGGAGGGTTAGCCACCCAGGATAACCCAAGAAAGTCAGTGCATCATCGAGGACTGTCTAACTTATTTCCATTGGGGGTCCTTAATCTTGTCCCCCAGGATGTGACCCACACAGTTGACTAACACCCAGGTGAACAGGAAAAAATGCCTGGAACTAGTGCTCATATTGGTGAGGTTTAGTGGGGAGGATGTGGAAGAGTTGGTGGAGAGGACAGTGACGAACTGCTAGAGCATCTTCAACAGTAAGAGGCCACACCTGAGGAAACTGCTTCGGAGGGGGGAGAGAGAAATTGAAGAAGTTGCCTACTTCAAAGATCAAGGAAATGTGTGCAATGTGCTTAAAGTGCAAACCTTTTTTGATGAAAATCACCCTCACACAGCTATTGTAAGCCGTGCTGGGGACTATTACACTGACAATGTTGTGAAACACTTTAGGATAAAGGAACGAGAGGTACAGGCCTCTATGGACAGATATGTTGTGCAACAGAAGTCCAGTGACTCTGAAACTGGTCCTAGTGGCATTAAAAGAACAAGGGAAGTAACCCCAGAAAAAGACTTGCTACCTCAAGTGCTAATGGAAGGGGATTCCCCTTCTAAACACTAAACAAGATCAACGGTCTCCCCTCCTCCCATCCCATCAATCATCACCAGATCTTCAATAAAGTAAGTGTCCATGTAACTGTGCATGTCTTCTTCAGTTGTGTGTATTAAAATTAATATTTCATGTGTAAAAATTTTTTTTTTCAATACTTTGGGGTGTCTTGCACGGATTAATTTGATTTCCATTATTTTCTTATGGGGAAAATTAACTTGACTAACGATTATTTTGATTAACGATGAGCTCTCAGGAACGAATTAATATCGCTGGTTGAGGTCCACGTAATTGGATTTACATTATTTCTTATGGAAATATTACTTCAGTTTTCATACAATTCGGTTTTCGTCAGACTATTTAGAATGGGTTAATCATAAAAATCGAGGTTTCACTGTATATGTAATTCATTCCAATCAATAAGGTGGAATAGATTAAAAAAATGGGGTTTTAAGAGCACTAGCTGCTGCAAAGAAATTTATGATGAGTTACGAAGAGTAAGGTTGCAAATGCATGAGACAATTACATTCATTTATACATGTATCAGACTAATGATGTGCATTTTATTGAGTGGTAGAATTTAGTGATGTAATAAATGAATATTTATAATCAATTACTTGTTGTAACTTAAGAAAATTTAATGGGTACTTTCTAACAATGTTAATAAAGCAGTTGGCAAATAGGATACTTTTGGTATTTTCAATCATCAAGTTCCAAATTTTTGGGCATTTTATTTGTATGGAGTTTCTCAATAGGTTGATTCTTACACATGGTATAAAAAAAAAGCTTCCTCCTTGAATTTTTGTTTTCTGCTGCAGTTCTTGTCTTGTTGTATA